CCTACAACAGGAAGTGAGGGGAAATCCATCCAAAGTGAGGGAAATCCCTGGTAGTCCCTATTGGAAGATTTCCCATCTATTCCTGTTCTGCTGTTCCCATCTATAGATGTTCTAATCTGTCTGTATGTCTACCTATCCCATAGATGTTCCCATCTATTCCTGTTCAAAATTTGGGTTTTTCTTTCTGTGATAGAGGTCACCAGGACATACAGAGAGGGTGAATCTCTCCAACAGGGACACAGACAGCATTAAAAACCTGATCAGTGTTCTAATCCATTTGCAAAGATAAAAGCTTCTGCTGGAAAGAACAAATGATGGGATCTCCCGAGAACATATCAATTGTTTCCAAAAACTACAGTCCCATGTACAAGATCCAACGAGGGCGCCGAACACGGGGGGTCCGACACAGAACAGCCAAAGTGTTTCAGGGGTTCAAGGTTCTCCCCCTTCCTCAGGGCTTTAGTAGGATTGCTTGTTTATCATTGATCTGTGTCGTATCCGATTCCTCATACAGCAAACCATTAACTCCCTGCTGACTGAACCATTTATGAGTCTTCAAATCTTTCCATCATACTCGAACTCTGATATAGGAAAAAGCAAAGCCCAAAACACACCCCACATACTGAATGTAAATATGTCTGCAACTATAAACGTGTATAATTACAAAATGTTCACACTCCAATAAGACCATTTACATGACACTGACACTGATCTCTTTCATGTGTATAGTCAATAAAACATTTATTGACGACAGTTACCCTTTACACCATCCAACTATTTCTATCTATCTCCCCTCCCCCACTCTCCTTTCTCTCTCCTCTTCTCTCTCTACTTCTTTCTCTTTCCTCTCTCTCCCCCTCTCCATTTTCTCTCGCTCTCTTTCTTCCTCCCTCTCCTCTCTCACTCCCCTCCTTCTCCTCTTCTTCTCTCCTCTTGTCTCTTTCCTATCCTCTATCTCCTTCTCTTTCTCTCTCTACTCTATTCTCTCCTTCTCCTCTCTCTCTCTCCACTCTCTTTATTTTCTCCATATACCCTCCTCATCCTTGCTCTCTCTCCACTGGCTGTCTCTCCTCGCTCTCCCTCTCTCCCCTGGCTGTCTCTCCTTGCTCTCTCTCCCCTGGCTGTCTCTCCTCGCTCGCTCTCTCTCTCCCCTGGCTGTCTCTCCTTGCGCACTCCCCCCTCCCTTAGCTGTTCAATAGAACAGCTCCATTGAATATCATTGGACGGCGACTTCTCACGATATCGCGCTGCAAATTTGCGTGAAATCGCGCGACATAACGCCCAGTGTGCATGGGCACTTGGGCGGCAAAGAGGATAGGGACACCGCTGGGCAGATGGGATTTCACCACAGTTGGAGGGCCAACATTTGGCTACCCTGCCCTATAGGATTCCTCTTCACCCCTCACCCAGGGAGATAAGGGGTAGGGAAAAAGAGCTGGGCTAGCACAGGCATTAATTAGACACTCCCAGAAGAGGAAATGGCTATGGCATGCAAGGAGGGAGGGGGCTGGGCTAGGGAATTGACTCTAGTTAAATTAGTTATTACGTTTAGCAGCACAATGCAAGTGAATGAAAACATCTAACACCCAAAACGCATGCGCAAGTGTAAAGGTGCCCCCGAATCGCCAGGCCAAGCGTGTGCCTAGCCTTATACAAGCCTGACCGCAGGGCTGTTTATACATCACACCGCTGTGAGTCGGTTACTAACTGGCAGGGAGGCAGTTGTTTATCTCCTACGCCCCGAGGACAATGTCAGATAACTGAGGACGCTTATCTGGCACACGGAAAACAATTCCGGAACACAATGAGACCAATAAAACCCTCTTTGATTAATGGGCTCATTCTACCCACCGTGGGCGGCTGCCAAGGGCCGGAGGGCCATTTCGGTGTGTGAGAACAACCTGTTACACCCGGTGGGGACGTCGCTGATAAGAGACGAATCACTTTCCTGCCATTGTCCTCCTTTCCCACAACAACCCCTATTGATAATGGCATCGCGGTGGGCGGGATTTTGGCCCGCTGCCACCGCGGAGGCACAATGTACACCACATGGACGGGCCATCTATCAGGGATTTTCTTAAAAGTGGTTTGATTACCGTGATACATGATATTAGAATACGAGCCGCAGGACAATATCCGCACGGCCGTTCCGTAGGCGTGGTGCCAGGTCGCAGTAGATGAAGGTGCTGCCAGCTACCTAATACAATGCCTTGTGCTGTTTTCCAAAGGGCCCGTTCACGCCTTCTCCCTGCTGATAAGCCCACTTTTAGGAATAATTTTAGAAGAAATCACTGGTCTAGAGAGCTTTAGAGTGCAACTGAAGCCAAAACATTTGAAAAATTTGGGCTAGAGCGGAGAGGAATTAGACCCCGTAAGGTCTTCAGGTAAGGTCTGTGTCCCCGTTCGGGAGATTCACCCTCTCTATTAGGGATGCACCAATACCGTCTTTTCGGTATCGAGTACCAATATTTCGCTTTCGGTACACGCCGATAACGAGTACCAATACCGGTGCTTCCGCTGGCATGGAGCTGGCTTCCCGCTGGCATGGAGCCGGCTTCCCGGGCAATCTGATTGCCCGAGAAGTTGGCTCCATGCTGTTTAGCTGTCTTGATTGTGCTTGGCCGGGAAACTGGCTTCCTAGCCAAATCGGCATAGAGTCAGCATCCCGGCCAGTCAGGAAGCCAGGAGGGAGATCATTACTCGCCGTCGAGCTTCCTGATCGCACAGGGAGCTGGCTCCATGTTCCCCTTCGGCACTGCTGGTCACAGGACATCTTCCTCTGACCGGAAGTTCTGGTATCGGGGAAGGTATCGGGTCACAGGACATCTTCCTCTGACCGGAAGTTCTGGTATCGGGGAAGGTATCGGAGCATTTGGATGAGTACAAGTACTCACCCAAATACTCGGTATCGGCAGCGATACCAATACTAGTATTAGTACCGGTGCATCCCTACTCGCTCTTTGTCCTGGTGAATGTTATCACTGAAAGTGAAAGAAAATGTGGGTTGTCACCAGAACAGGTGTACAGAATAGATGGGAAATCTTCCAATGGTGACCCTACTGACCACTAGGAATTTACCTCAATTTGGAGGGATTTCCTCTCACTTCCTGTTGTGGCCATCAGGGAGTTTCTCTTCAATACCTACAACAGGAAGTGAGGGGAAATCCATCCAAAGTGAGGGAAATCCCTGGTAGTCCCTATTGGAAGATTTCCCATCTATTCCTGTTCTGCTGTTCCCATCTATAGATGTTCTAATCTGTCTGTATGTCTACCTATCCCATAGATGTTCCCATCTATTCCTGTTCAAAATTTGGGTTTTTCTTTCTGTGATAGAGGTCACCAGGACATACAGAGAGGGTGAATCTCTCCAACAGGGACACAGACAGCATTAAAAACCTGATCAGTGTTCTAATCCATTTGCAAAGATAAAAGCTTCTGCTGGAAAGAACAAATGATGGGATCTCCCGAGAACATATCAATTGTTTCCAAAAACTACAGTCCCATGTACAAGATCCAACGAGGGCGCCGAACACGGGGGGTCCGACACAGAACAGCCAAAGTGTTTCAGGGGTTCAAGGTTCTCCCCCTTCCTCAGGGCTTTAGTAGGATTGCTTGTTTATCATTGATCTGTGTCGTATCCGATTCCTCATACAGCAAACCATTAACTCCCTGCTGACTGAACCATTTATGAGTCTTCAAATCTTTCCATCATACTCGAACTCTGATATAGGAAAAAGCAAAGCCCAAAACACACCCCACATACTGAATGTAAATATGTCTGCAACTATAAACGTGTATAATTACAAAATGTTCACACTCCAATAAGACCATTTACATGACACTGACACTGATCTCTTTCATGTGTATAGTCAATAAAACATTTATTGACGACAGTTACCCTTTACACCATCCAACTATTTCTATCTATCTCCCCTCCCCCACTCTCCTTTCTCTCTCCTCTTCTCTCTCTACTTCTTTCTCTTTCCTCTCTCTCCCCCTCTCCATTTTCTCTCGCTCTCTTTCTTCCTCCCTCTCCTCTCTCACTCCCCTCCTTCTCCTCTTCTTCTCTCCTCTTGTCTCTTTCCTATCCTCTATCTCCTTCTCTTTCTCTCTCTACTCTATTCTCTCCTTCTCCTCTCTCTCTCTCCACTCTCTTTATTTTCTCCATATACCCTCCTCATCCTTGCTCTCTCTCCACTGGCTGTCTCTCCTCGCTCTCCCTCTCTCCCCTGGCTGTCTCTCCTTGCTCTCTCTCCCCTGGCTGTCTCTCCTCGCTCGCTCTCTCTCTCCCCTGGCTGTCTCTCCTTGCTCACTCTCCCCTGGCTGTCTCTCCTTGCTCTCTCTCTCCCCCCTGGCTGTCTCTCCTTGCTCTCTCTCCCCTGGCTGTCTCTCCTTGCTCTCTCTCC